CCGCTATGTTGCAGTCTGGACTGGCTCATCGTCTTGACTTCTTGACGTCGTGCAGGTCATTTCTGCGCGGCTATAGATATGCTTGCCAGCCAGATGATCAAGTTCCCTTAGCTCAGTGATTAGAGCGATGGTCTTATAAGCCATAGATCGCGGGTTCAAACCCCGCAGGCGACATGCTTCGTCATCTTGACTGCAGGATCTTGGAGTTGCTCAAGATTTCCTAGCATATTTGGTGGGGATGGTTTAGCAGTAGACCCGGGTGTTTGCCTACCATCGTCAGGCACAAAGACAAAACAAGAGCACATGCTTCCCATGGAGGGGATGCCGTCGTCTTGTTCAGCGATTACGCATTCGCCAAAGCACGAACAAGTTATTGTCGCCCGCGCCTTGTCGACCAGATTAAAGATTTTGTACCAATTGCCACTTGTCCGTAGTCGCTTCACCTGGTCGGCTGGGTGCTCTGCATGCTATTCGGGAACATGTCGCAATGTCGCCAGTTCGGGATCAGCGGATTCCGGGCGACCCTCTACACTAAATTGCAAGCAAACCTGAGCACGCCACTGCGGCATGATTGACGATGGTTGCCTGGCCCCGTGACCACTCATGTGAAAGCAAACAGCTTTACAGCCTCAGGCTCGATGTCACCGAAAGAAAACTGTCTGCCAGTGCGGCTATTCTCTCGAGATCTGCTCCGTCCAACTCAGGCCAGCCGTCCAGCTGAACATGATACCTTCAGGTCAACTGCAAGATCCGGCTTCTCGCTCGCAAGTGACGGGTCTTCAGTCTTACTCCTTATGCATTGCAGCACGGCGCACAAGCCAAGCATCATGTCTTTTGCCGTGACCTCGCCCACGGAGGAAGGATCCTCCGCAGGTATCAAGCAATCAAGTTGATTGCGCATGCCCTTTCGTGTTGCATGCTTGGCTGGTGACGAGTTTGTCCCAAAGGGCGCGGATATCTTCTTTCGTCCTGAGTAGTGATGGCATGCGGCAAGCCCAACGCCGTGCCGGCAACACTGGTAAGAAAACTTTTCTTCATCGTCTGTTTTGCTTCAGCCCGTCTGGACGACGTTGTCGGGTTTGCTACGGATTCCTGCACCTCCGTTTTTGTGGCGGGTGTGAAACTTGACACTTTAAGACGCCTCTCACTCAGCGAGGGGATCCTCGGCTCCAATTTCGCACCGAAGCAGCTGGAACGACACTTCTGCCTGTGCTCGCATCTGGCACGGACCTCCCACCCAGGCTTTGCCGTGGCCCCCAACTGGGAACTTGAATCATTGATAGCGGCCATTTTTCCTGTGCTTGTGGAAACTGATTGCATCCGGGCTCGTAGAGGGCTGCAGGGTTGGCTTGTACCTGCAACAGCAGGAAGGGCTGCGGGACTCCACAATTATCCAGCTAGTTCCACGTGACGTGCACAATTTGAATCGAGCCTGCGCCGCACCCGGTGTGAATTCCGCTGCGGTCCTGCACCAGGCTTCTGCCCCGCTGCGTCTTTACAGAGAATCCGAATCAGCCCGGTGAATTCTGTGATGTCGATGTGCCACAGCTACATACAGGCTCTGACAGCTCATGAACCAGAACGACTCCCCAACGAAAGAAAACTACAGTCACAAAGCCCACTTTCTGTTGTTGAGCGTTGCCGCGGCTTCCCGGCACGGCCGTTTGTGCTTTGTCTTTCTCTGCTTGCATATTTGCCTGCAGGAAATGCCCAACCCACACTGAGCTGAGAGTATCGTGCCACACGCTTGTCGCCGTGTGTTCTGCACAGGCGCAGACCCATGGTCGTTCATGGAGGCTGTAGGGAGACATAGCAAAACAGGCAGCGACACAGCACCATCAAAAGGCTTAGGTGAAGGAGTATCATGCTGAGACCGAAGATAAAGAGCTTGAACTTGCAATACTTTGCTCGATTCAAGTTGGGACATACTGTCTTCATGAGCACAGTCCCGGCTGGCAGGCCGGCATCTGCAGGCTCCTGGGATGGCAGCGCAGCATTGTGGAAGTCTCAATATCTTCAAGGCTTCCAGGACTGGGAGCATGACCATTCTGCGCGGTCCAGGCAGAAAGTCTGCGATTGCACCTCAGCCAGAGGACTGTGCAAGTGCAACGGCTCGAGCTGACTTCACACCAGGCTCAGCCACAGGCGTTTCACGTCCACCCACTTGCCATTGACATGGTGCTTGTCATGGTGTTGCAGCACCGACAAGACACTCTCAGCTGTTTCGTAGCAAATAAAAGCGAAACCGCGAGGCTTCCCCGTCATCTTGTCTGTCATGATCACAGCATCTGTGACCTGACCGTACGCTGCGAAGCATCGCAGAAGTTGGTCCAATGTCGTAGACAGTGGAAGGCCGCCAACAAAGATTTTGCAGTCATCGTTGTTACCCTTCCTGACAGTGACAATGCCGATACATGACGCTTTCAAACCATCCGTGGGTTAAGATCATGATTGTAGTGGTGCGCATACACACTTCCTAAGGCATGGACTGGCAGGGCTGTGCCGAAAACAAAAAACAGCGATGTGACAAGGAGTCAGGACAAGTCACTGCATTCGATTCAGCTCCGGCCGGGCAGAGAACGACAATTGGGGCATCTGCGGTGCACAGACAGGGCTGGCTTGTGCCGCGGGATTGGTCGAGGCGAACGTGGGGATCACGATATTGACCTTCGTTGCTTCCGCACCAAGTACACAAGCAGCACTCCCTCATGCTTAAGCCATACCTTGCTTGGGCGAGCATGGTACGACACTTTCACTACTCCCTTTGGGACGCGCCGGGTTATCGTCCGGATGGGTTGCTGCTTGACTAACGTGGTCATGTTGCTAGTGTGCTCATCGTAGGCGGTGCTACTGGCTCGGCATAATCCGGCGTGACGAAGATTCCAAGTGCGGTCAGCGTGAGAAGCCCATCCCCCACAATGAGAAGGATATCGGCACCGGGAATGAAAAGCCACCGTGTGGTGTCTGATTCGACATCACGAAAGAACGCCAAAGCTTCCTTCACAGTCTTATCACCAGTTCGTGTCGCATGCTCCGCGATCTCGCTCCAGATCGTGCCACAGAGCCCCGACAGATTGGCATCCTTCCATGAAATCGGCGAGAGGCCCTTAGGCGAGTCGTCCCAGAGACGGTGCCTCCATCGCTTAAACCACGGAGACGGGACCAGCTTCTCTTGCCCCCTATCGAGCACAACACCACCAAGTGCACGGCTCATGCGCTGCTCCTCAGCAAACACTGACTCGCTGTGCTTACAGTAAGAATGAATGTGAAAGACAGTTCTCCGGCCGGGCAGTTTGAATGGCAAATTACTGTTCGAGTGAACAAATGGTCCTTGTCCAAGCGAGTCAGGCGCCGCTCCTCCACCCTCTCCTCACGCTTGCGGTCCTCATCCTCCTCGGGCTTCTCGTCCGCCTGCGTGACTTCTAGCTGCTTGCCTTTGATCACGTGCGACTCTCCCAGCATCCACTCGACCAGGTCTTGCTTGCTATTCTTTTTTCCTTTGTAGAAACCCTCCGGCTTCATGGTGAGGAAGCACATTCCTCGAAATTGCTTCTTGCCTTACGTGCAGTCTGCAAGCGCACAGCAAGAAACGGCCGTAACATCTCGTCTACCAGAATGTTCCAAGCCACGCTTGTCCATCAAGACATTGCAGTTCCTTCGCAAGTCAAGCATCGGAGATGCGTCACCGTCTGTGCAGCTGTGACGAACCACGATGAAAGCATGATGGGCCGAGCCACGTAATCTGGCCAAATTCTTTGAAGTGCTCTCGAATCTGATTTTCATCCAGATCTGCAGTGCCCTTCAAGAAAAATCGCTGCGAGTCGCGATCATTGCGATCGCCCTGGGCAAACCCCACATCATGCAACAGTGCAGACGCGAGCACCCGAACATCCAGCTTACCAGATGCTTTCCTGCTACGGTTGACATCAAACCGTCTGCAGCCGGCCCAGCATCACAGGTTTCAACGAATTTATTTGCCCTATGAGAAGGCTGCGGCCTGTTTGACTTTGGGCTCCTTTCGCCGTTCACGGCTCCGGCTGCGGCTCCTTCTCCGAACGCACCACACTTCCCACAGGACCACAAGCACGGCGTGTAAGTCGCGAGCGAAGCCGCTCTACTAAAGGCTTGTGCTGTGGTGGTTGACTGTCTTTCCATTGATCCTATACTTATAATCTCAGGGCCTGCCGTGGACTACGATGTCAAACTTGTTTCACATGCACCCCAAAGGAAGTCCTGCTGCGATCGCGTGTGTCGTCCCAGCATCTTCGACGGAAGTGTGTCATCAGCGCTCCTTAGTATAGCTGTCTGGTCACCGCGTGCACAACTTTGGGCTTGCTGGTAATTCGGCTTCTGCTGGTGCGCTGGCAACTTTCTGTCCAGAGGCGGATCAAGCTGATCTCAGGGAAGAGCTGGAAAACGTCTTGCCACTTCGCGCGCAAGCATCGACCAGTACCAGGGCGAGCGGCCTGCAGCAGCAAAGGGAACAAGTGGAAGAGCCTAACAGTTTATGCGAACGGCTTCCTTCATGATTCAGGCAGTATCGGAGCCGCAGCTGTCTCGGCAACGGACGTCTTATTCCAAGGCAGCAAGGTTGGGCCTCCACCAGAGCGACTCGAGAAAGCAAGGTGATGAACTGGCACCTGAAGGCAGATTTTGCAAGTGTTACTGGAAGTTCGTGGTGATTTGATGCCCGGCACAGTGTGTTCTTGGAGCAGATGTACGCTGCTAGCTCTGCCAAGTTTGCGGGATCCCCTGACAGAAGGCTGTGGGCGGGTGGGTGGATGGGTGGTGGGTGGTGAGGCTCTTGCCTTTTTTGCTTACCACGCGCGGTTGTTGGATTTTGTCGTCTGCTTGCCGGACTTCCTGTGCCCTTTGTGTCTCCCAGGCCGTGTGGGAAGAAATTTGAATCTTCCATCCACGCCTTGCACCTCTCCTGCGACATACTCCGCTTGTCGCTGCGGATGTCGACGCAAGGTGTTCGGGCTTGCCTGATTCTTCCTTTCGAGACTCCCTGGCATTCGCATTGTGAGCTCGGATGAGACAGTCACACTTTGGTTTGAGACGGGCAGCTCGCCATTTTCACTCTTTTCACCATAATTACACCTGCAGACCAACAGGTCTGCGTCGAGCCGACTCAAAGCCCGGAACAGAGGATTGCGGCAGGACGAAAGTTCGTCGCATCCGCAAGTTCTATGTACGTATACTTAGCCACCCCCTTCCCCAATATAGACTCCTCCAAGAACTACGTTGTTGGCGCCCGGGGGTTTCAAAATCCTTCTTATGAACAAAAGCCTTTTTTGTTCAAAACAGCGTGTTAATTCCTCTGCTGGCCAGGCCACCAAAAATCACTTCCTTGAACTCCGCATCCTCCACCAACACAACACATTTAGAATACGACGAAACTTTCAGCCTGGTGATGTATTCTTGCATCTGCAAAGCCAAACAGAGCGGTGATTCTGATTACTAGTGGACTAGTGCTCTCAGATGCCACAACCCAGGGCCTGAGCATGTCACGTAGCCAGCCAAGCAGTATACAGTTTGAACTCAAGCAGCATCCCGGACAGGAGGTCAGGTCTCACGTAGGCTCCGCACTTCGCAGCAGGCCGTCCACTTTCAAAGACCCTTCTCATGTCCTCCTCTGCGTACAGAGCTAGCCTCACTGGTCAGTCAAGAGTGAAATACTGGCAATGCTAGCATGAGTTTTGACATGGCATGACATGGCTATTTATACAAGTACGAGTTCTGCTGCTTTTCGTGATCTTTCCGATTCCTTTTCAGACTCACACTCGGACTTTCCGAATGACACTCAGGTGATGATCAACAAGCGGCAACAAAGACTAAGTGAGTAAGCCATTGCATCGATCTAAGACTCTGAGACACAGCTTGCCAACAGGCTTGCGGTTTTCTCGTTCGTCTGCTCGCTGTCACTATTGACATTCTCCCCAAGTATCAAATCTGGCGGCCCAGTGACAGCTCATCACCATCAAACCATTCACGCAGCAGGTCGGTCGGCGAAATGCCGTGCCAACTTAAGCTGTATGGACCTCTCGTCACAACATGATTCCGAAGCATTGGCGGGCAGGCACCTTGGAGCAGTAGCCGACATGAAACTAACGTCCCTTTTGAACCCACGCTGAAATCCTAAACTAACGTCCCTATTGAAGCAACAGTTTGCCATCTCGCCTTCACAGATGAAGCCCAGAACGGCCAGGAGCAGGCGCGTGGCTTCTGCGAAGGTGCTTGCAGTGGGATCGGCACACATCTCCTGTGGCTTTCAGCTTGGCTACGTATGTGATTCAGGTATCCAAACCGACAGCATGACCTGTCACACGGCAGCATCATGCTACAAGCATCATGTAGTTGGGGTCGCTGTGCATGCCGTAAGCTGCCGGAGGGGTCTTTGTCTCTATAGATCCTTGACCTACCGACAGCAAGCAACCGAGGAAAAACTTACACCTATCTGCTGCTGGCTAACTCTCAAAGAAGCACATTCAGCAATTCTCGCTCCTACTACTACCAATACTCCTCTTGGACTTCCTCCTCCTCCTGCTCCTGCTGCTTCTACTGCTACTGCTACTACGACAACAACGACTGCTACAACTACGACGACGCTCCTACTCCTACTCCTACTCCTACTACTTCTACTACTGCTACTACTACTACTACTACTACTACTACTACTACTACTGCCACTACTGCCACTACTGCCACTACTACTACTACTACTACTACGACGACGACTACTACTACTGCTACTA